CCAGTGGTCCAGTGTACCAGTGGTCCAGTGTACCAGTGGTCCAGTGGTCCAGTGTACCAGTGGTCCAGTGTACCAGTGGTCCAGTGTACCAGTGGTCCAGTGGTCCAGTGTACCAGTGGTCCAGTGTACCAGTGGTCCAGTGTACCAGTGGTCCAGTGTACCAGTGGTCCAGTGTACCAGTGGTCCAGTGTACCAGTGGTCCAGTGTACCAGTGGTCCAGTGGTCCACTCATTTGGACCCACCAATGCTGTTAATGAAAGGTGTAACGTCATAATTGTGGGTGAAGTCCAGGTGGTGGCGCTGCAGAGTAATGATAGTCTAAACACAGACTTCTGCCTAACGACGCCCCCCACTGGAATTACAGATAAAGCCGCAGTAATTACACTGTGATTGTGATGGGATTGAAGTGGGGGGGGGGGGAGGGGGGGGTTAGTGATTTTAGTGGTTATTAAAAGAAAATAAAAGGAGGAGGAAAGAAGGACAGGAAATGATGGAGCAGGAGGGACGACCAGTCTGTCAACACCCCCCAGCTGCTGGGGGGGGGGGGGGGGGGGGGACTCTTACACCTGCCTCCTCTCTGGATTGTGGGTTTAAATGAGGCTCAGGACTCAGGTCAGCTGACCGTCAGAGGGACTGTGATTGGTTAACCTGACAGTCAACAGGACAGGTGTGTGTGTGTGTGTGTGTGTGTGTGTTATTTAGGAGATAAAGTGAATTGTTGGAGTGGAGGTTCATTCAGAGTCTGGAGCCTTCTGTCAGATTGATTGTGTGTGTGTGTGTGTGTGTGTGTGTGTGTGTGTGTGGATCAATAGTATTGTTGGTAACAAAAGATGCTATTTCACAACTGACTGGACTCTACATGGTATACCTTCACCACAGAGGTGAGGGGGAGAGGGGGGGGGGGGGTTAACACTAAGGGATAAAAAGGGGAAGAGACCCCCCCCCCACACAGACTTTGATCTTCATTTGGTTTCTGTCACAGAGGAGACTTTTTTCCTGGTGTCGTTTCTCACCAGGCTGCTGCTCCTTCTTCCTCCTCTCCTCCTGCTCCTCCCTCCGTCGGTCCTCCTGTCTGAGTGGCCGACCCTCCTTATCCCGAGGAATGATTGGTCCGTGGAAAGGACACTGGAATGAACAGAGCCAAGGATGAGGCACAGCGGAGGGAGCGGCGCTCCCACACCGTGTCCCAGCGCCGTTACCTTGAGTCGGTCCTGTCTCTGACACACGCCCCCAGGGGGCAGTGGAGCCCCACAGTGGTGACTGACAGGAGGGAAGCTTCCCGGGAAAGAGATGACTCTGCTCCTGCTCTCTGCCAGCAGCTGCTGGTTCTCCACCTCCTCCTCCACCTCAGTGGGAACCCAGAACTGATGCTGAGAGGCCGCTCTGAAAGAACACAGTCATTAGAACACACTAATGAGGGGTGTGGTCTACGGCTCGGTTCCAGGTTCCAGGTTCCTGGTTCCATTTTCAGAAAATGTTTTTTTTTTGCCGACTGGACTGAAAACAGCAAAACAGTTAAAACAATCACTTCAGAGGCAAATATGAAATGATACTGATGCTGGTGATGTGCCGAAAGTGGTCCCCGGACCAGGGGTTTGGACCACATTCATCTTCAAAAATACCCACACTGGCACACAATGAGTACAGGAAAGTACTCGTGTGTACTTACACACGAGTACTTTCCTGTCCCCCCCCACACCCCCACATATACGAGCTTCCCAAAATGACCTAATGATTCCTCTAATTAACATTACAGGAATCATCTAGTGGCTCAACCCAGGGCTGGCAGCCATTCAGTCGTACGGTGAGCTCTGAAAAAAACTCAAATATATAATCCTTCTCCTTCGTTAGTGGTCCTGACACTGGCCCTGAGGAACCAGGCCAGTCTAGCTTCAGTGTGTGTGTGTGTGTGTGTGTGTGTGTGTGTGTTTCTTGATGATCTTGCCAGCATTGGGCTGCTTCTGGCCCCAGTAGTACAGATCCAAACCAAATGGAACCACAGGAGCGTGGACGGACGTCTTCTGTGATGAGCTGCTGGTGCTGGAGGACAGACATGTGGACAGGGACACTGAGTCCTGGGAAAAGTGCAGTAAAGAAGTTTTCTTGGCTGCTCTCTGCGTTTATGGAGCTGGAGCCCCTGATTTACAGGCCTCACTGCTGTGACTGTCTTGTTGCTGCGACCTGTGACATGAACCTGTGTCCACGTCTTTAAGTGTGTCTCTGGGTCTTCATCATTTATGAACAAGAACATCCGTCACTTCTGAAATACGGCGGCAGAGCGGCAGGTCCAGAGCGGAGGTGATTTTTTGCCTCCGTGCACACCGTGCACACCGTGCACACCGTGCACACCGTGCACACCGTGCACACCGTGCACCCCGTGCACACCGTGCACACCGTGCACACCGTGCACCCCGTGCACACCGTGCACCCCGTGCACACCGTGCACACCGTGCACACCGTGCACCCCGTGCACACCGTGCACCCCGTGCACACCGTGCACACCGTGCACCCCGTGCACACCGTGCACCCCGTGCACACCGTGCACACCGTGCACCCCGTGCACACCGTGCACCCCGTGCACACCGTGCACCCCGTGCACACCGTGCACACCGTGCACCCCGTGCACACCGTGCACACCGTGCACGCCGTCTTCTCTTTCATGTCACTGTCACAGTTCATTAACAACCGGCAGTGGTGGAAGTTCTGGAACGACTGTGACCTTTAACACCCACCAAACGTCTTTACCCTCTAGACTGAAAGACTGATGAGACGTCCATCACATCACAGCGTAAATCACATTAACAACCTGACACTGTACAGTCGGCTAAACTGTACACCACTGCACCACACTCAGGTGGGACGGCAGTGTGTCCCCTCTGACTGTGGGTGAGTCTGGGTGAGGTTGACTTACCTGGGCTCTGTGGACAGGGGGAGGTTCTGTCTGAGGAGTCGCAGCGTGGCAGCGGCACACGTTGGATCCTGCTCCTCGTCTTTCAGTTTTTGTAATTGTCTTGAAGAGGAGGAGGAGGAGGAGGAGGAGGAGAGAGGAGGTACGGGGGCTGTGGACGTGGACGGAGTGGGCTCCAAACCTGGCAGTGGAGACACAGGTGGAGTTAGAACTGAAATCCTGACCCCTGCAGGCCTGTGGTCACTGCACTGCAGACCACTGCTCCACTGGTTCACAGAGGGGTGAAGACTAACCAAGACCACCTGACTGAAGAACAGTCTTCAAACACCATCACCCACCAACGTGTGTGTGTGTGTGTGTGTGTGTGCACTCCACAGGTGAAGAGAACACCGTCGTGGAGGAGGTTGAAGGAGCAGGTCGACGGTTGGAGAAAAAAAAATTTAAAAAAAGAAAAGGAGAAGGAAGCGAGAGAAGACGAAGAAGAAAAGGAGACAGGAGCAGATATTGATTCTCCTGGGTTAAGGAGGGTCTGTAATTAAAATGTTAATGTGAGGAGGAGAGAGATAGTGTCCTGACAGCAGAGGGGAGGGAGGGGGGGGGGGCACCGATAATCAGAATGACACAACAGGAGAGGAGAGTGGGAGGAGGAGGAGGAAGAGGAGGAGGAGGAAGAGTGTCTCAGACATGTCACATCACAGGGTTTGACATTCTTTATAATGGAATATGTTTAATGTTATGTTATATATATATGATCATTGTTATTACCAACAATGATCATAATGTGGACCTCATTGTAATGTGGGCCTCATCGTAATGTGGGCCTCATCATAATCTGGGCCTCATCATAATCTGGGTCTCATCATAATGTGGGCCTCATCATAATGTGGGCCTCAACATAATCTGGGTCTCATCATAATGTGGGCCTCATCATAATCTGGGCCTCATCATAATCTGGGCTTCATCGTAATGTGGGCCTCAACATAATCTGGGTCTCATCATAATGTGGGCCTCATCATAATCTGGGCCTCATCATAATCTGGGCTTCATCGTAATGTGGGCCTCAACATAATCTGGGTCTCATCATAATGTGGGCCTCATCATAATCTGGGCCTCATCATAATCTGGGCCTCATCATAATGTGGGCCTCATCATAATGTGGGTCTCATCATAATCTGGGCCTCATCATAATCTGGGCTTCATCGTAATGTGGGCCTCAACATAATCTGGGCCTCATCATAATGTGGGCCTCATCATAATCTGGGCCTCATCATAATGTGGGTCTCATCACCATCTGTCTACACTGCTGTGAGTCCACAGGTACGAAGTCGTCCAATCAGAGCTCAATGTTATCATTTGTCATGTGATCATTTGTGTCAGGCTCACAGATCTGTGTGTGTGTGTGTGTGTGTGTGTGTGTGCAGAGCTAATAGGGCCTCATTAAAGAGGTTGCATTGTTAATTTGGAACAGCCTCTGTGGATGGTAATGATCTGCCCACTAATCACCCTGACACACACACACACACACACACACACAGCTGTTTTGGAGCCATCAGATACAATCTAATTACTTTTGTGTCTAATTGATTAGTAATAAGGAGAGGATGGAGGGGGTGTGGGGGAGGTCTGGGGGGTCAAAGGGCAGCACACAGCCACAACAACATGACTGACCCAGCAATAACAGCTCTGTTGACATTTTCTGTGATGTTTCTGTGTCATTAACACAGACACAGATGAAGGGACGTGTGAATCAACGGGGGGAGAGGGGAGGGGCTGACGGAGCAGGAGCAGTAACAGCAGCAGTAACAGCAGGAACAGCAGCAGTAACAGCAGCAGTAGCAGCAGCAGTAGCAGCAGTAACAGCAGCAGGAACAGCAGTAACAGCAGCAGTAACAACAGCAGTAACAGCAGTAACAGCAGCATTTACAGCAGCAGTAACAGCAGTAACAGCAGCATTTACAGCAGCAGTAACAGCAGTAACAGCAGCATTTACAGCAGCAGTAACAGCAGTAACAGCAGTAACAGCAGCATTTACAGCAGCAGTAACAGCAGTAACAGCAGTAACAGCAGCATTTACAGCAGCAGTAACAGCAGTAACAGCAGCATTTACAGCAGCAGTAACAGCAGTAACAGCAGTAACAGCAGTAACAGCAGGAACAGCAGCAGTAACAGCAGCAGTAACAGCAGCAACAGCAGTAACAGCAGCAGCAGCAGCAGCAGCAGCAGTAACAGCAGCAGTAACAACAGCAGCAGTAACAGCAGCAGTAACGGCAGCAGTAACAGTTCCACTGTGGAGCTGCTGATGACTGTGAAACAGGAAAAGAAGCAAAGACAGAAGGAAATTGTAAATAAGACCATGACCCCCGTCACTCTGGTGTGATGGGGGGGGGGGGGGGGGGGGGGGGGGGTGAAGGGGGGTGTATTGAAATGTTTCAGTGCCTTGGAGGTCCTGTCCCCCCTCCTCCCCCTCCTCCTCCTCCTCCCTCTGTAGGAAAGTGTTCCTGGCTGTGGCTGAGTGGCTCTGTGGTGTGATTTACAGAGAGTTGAACCTGAAAAACACACTGTCTGTCCCCACTGGTGAACAGTGGGGACAGACAGTGTGTCCACAGTCACTATTTCAGAGTCAAGTAGCCCTTTAATGTGTCCACTTTAATGTCTCCACTTTAGTGTGTCCACTTTAGTGTGTCCACTTTAGTGTGTCCACTTTAGTGTGTCCACTGCAGCTGCTTCAGTGCATGAGCTCAAAATCTGTGAGAAAAAGGCTGTTACTGAATGTTACTGCTGCTGTTACTGCTGCTACTGCTGCTGTTACTGCTGCTGCTGTTACTGCTGCTGTTGCTGCTGCTGTTACTGCTGCTGTTGCTGCTGCTGTTACTGCTGCTGCTGTTACTGCTGTTACTGCTGTTACTGCTGCTGTTACTACTGCTGCTGTTACTACTGCTGCTGTTACTACTGCTGCTGTTACTACTGCTGCTGTTACTGCTGTTACTGCTGCTGTTACTGTTGTTACTGCTGTTACTGCTGCTGTTACTACTGCTGCTGTTACTGCTGCTGCTGCTGTTACTGCTGCTGTTGCTGCTGCTGTTACTGCTGCTGCTGCTGTTACTGCTGCTGTTGCTGCTGCTGTTACTGCTGCTGCTGCTGTTACTGCTGCTGTTACTACTGCTGCTGTTACTGCTGCTGCTGCTGTTACTGCTGCTGTTGTTGCTGTTGCTGTTGCTGCTACTGCTGTTACTACTGCTGCTGCTGTTACTGCTGCTGCTGCTGTTACTGCTGCTGTTACTGCCGTCAGTCTAAACTCCAAACTTCTGTTTCTGTCAATAAACTGGCCTCTCTCTCTGTCTCTGTCTCTCTGTGTGTTTGTGTGTGTGTGTGTGTTTGTGTGTGAAGTCACACTCACCATATTCTGCCCTCAGATGTTCTGGGATGTGAGGCTCATACCCCTCTTTCTCTGGGACCTCATCAAAGTTATCATCATCATCATCTTCATCATCTTCATCGTCCACTCTGCTCTCTCCGTTCACTGACTTCATCTGAGGAGGTGGACAAACATGAGGCTCAGTGGAGAAAGGTCAGCAGAGGTTGTTGTTCTGAGGTCAGTGTGTTCTTGAACACTTTAACAAAACACACACACACACACACACACTATTTCCTTTACCCTAAATTGACTAGCAATGACTGCATCTGCATGTGTGTGTGTGTGTGTGTGTGTGTGTGTGTGTGTGTGTGTGTGTGTGGAGCTGCCGTCAACACTAAGCAGAATTTACGGTTTTTAATTTTCTACTACGGTTGTCGACCATTGACTGAGCTACAAAGCAGAACACAACAGCACTCTAATACACAGGGGTCATTTCAAGTGAGCGCGCGTGTGTGTGTGTGTGTGTGTGTGTGTGTGGTCATTCTAGCAGTATAATAATCACAGTGATTAGCGTTATGAGACGCAGTAAAAACCAAACGTTAAACTAACCTCTTATTCCCACAGGCCTCTTTTTCATTAGTGTGTGTAACACCTGTGACAGTGTGTGAGTGTGTGTGAGTGTGTGTGTGTGTGTACGTCTGTGCTGCTGCTGATAACAGCCATTATAGTGACTTATTATTTATAAATTGCCATAGAAATAATGAGTCCTTAGATGATCATTGAAATTCTCTCTCACACACACACACACACACACACACACACACAACCACGTGCAGCTTACAGACCAATGACAACAGTTGACAACAGTGATTCTTCGATGACTCAGAGTAACTATTCATCATGACTAATTACTATTAGTTATTCTTGATGAATTAGTGCCGACTCAGCGGTGACCACAGACTGATTCATGACCTCAGGGTCACTGATACTGCTCTAGAACCCACTCCTCTACATAAACATTTCCAAAGATGAAAATGGCCAAAAATAAACCAATATGCTGCCCCCTGGTGGGTTTACACTAAACAGTCAGGTGACAGGAGAAGACTCCAGATTACAGTGTGATTAGTGTCACCCCCACTGACCCCCGGGTGACGGGGGAGTGAGTGATTGTGACTGACAGTGGACCTGAGGTCAGAGGTCATTCTACTGTACTGTGGATTCTTAGTAACCATGACGACGTCGTTAACACATATTAACAAAGAAGAAGTGGTTCAAAGCCCCCCCCCCCTCACAGCCAACTTCCTACATTACTCCACCTCACTGCTGCACTTATTCATCCTCCCTGTACAATGGACTCACAGCCACCACACGAACACACCACAGAGTGGGGGGGGGGGGTAATAGTCTGCTGGTCTGCTTTATTCTGCTCTGATCAATGAGCTGAGACTAAAAAGTGATCACCCAGTGAGAGGAGAATCCTGCCCCAACATCATCCTTTCTTCCCCTCTTTCTGCAGCTTTGTCTCTAATTCACCTTCATTTAATCCTGATAGCATCGAGTCCTGTCCAGTCGCCGGGCAGAGCCGTAAGTCTCAGCCCAGAATTAGCTTTCCTCCACAAACATTTTGCTGACGGGGGGCACGGCTAAAATATGGCCTCCATTCCCCACACGGTCGCAGGACG